GCATCGCCAAGGCTGTAATCTTGTATGATGAAAAACACCCCATCATACTATCAGCAGGGAAAATCACCGACCTCATCATTGACGACACGCATCGCCGAACGCTCTATGGCGGACTCCAGCTAACACTCAGCACGTTGCAACAACGATACTGGGTCATCAACGCAAGACGACTCGTGAAAAGCCACATCCACAAATGCGTAAAGTGCTTTAGATTCGATGGAAAGCCAGCACATCAAATTATGGCAGCACTGCCACCTCCACGCGTGACTCCATCTCCGCCATTCACCCACACAGGGATGGACTATGCTGGGCCAGTGAACATGCGCACCACTGAAGGTCGAGGACATAAGGCATACAAGGGCTATATTGCACTCTTCGTATGTCTGGCTACCCGAGCAATACACCTTGAATTAGTATCCGACTACTCCACCAAGAAGTTCCTGGGTGCACTAAACCGCTTCGCATCGCGCCGAGAGCTCCCATCTAATCTTTACAGCGACAACGGGACCAATTTCCAAGAAGCAGAGCGCGAACTACGCGCGAAAATGGACCAACTCCAGCAAAATGAAGAGTTGAGAAGCAGCATCGCAACGAGGAAAATCGAGTGGCATTTCATACCACCCAGCTCTTTGGTGGATTACGGGAAGCAGGAATGAAATCAGTAAAAACCTTGCTAAAAAGACTCCTGGACGAGTGTACACCAACATTCGAGGAATGGACTACACTCCTGTGTAAAATTGAGTGTAACCTGAACTCGAGGCCCATCGCCCCATTAACCCCTGGGCATCTGTTGACAGGAAGACCTCTGAATGTAGTACCAACAGACTCAATGCTGGACCTGAACGTCAACAGACTGTCTCGATGGGAATTCATCCAAAACATCAACGAGCACTTCTGGAGTCGATGGCGCCACGAATACCTCTACGCGCTGCAAACTCGCCAGAAGTGGAAGACAGACCAGCAAAACCTGAAAATCGATGACGTCGTACTTATTCAGGACTTCCCAACTCCTCCCAGCCAATGGCCATTGGCACGAGTCATAGAAGTTTACCCAGACGAGGATGGAACGGTCAGAGGTGAAACTGAGGACGAGCACCTCTACATACACACGTCCCATTGTGAAGCTAATCCCCCTGTCACAGGGAAGTCCCGTCTCCGGCCTGAAGATCTGGCCATTGAGAATGCGGGTCTGGCCGCAGTCCTTCCTCCGGATATCAACTTGCTCGATCTGAACTGGGCTGTGTATGATGCGGCTCTTCGTTTGAAGCCTCAGAACCCAAGTAAAGGGTCATTTGAGATGAAAACGCGAAGGCGCATTGCACAGCTCCAAGGTAAAGTCGATGAGGCTAGGAAGCAGGCGTCGCGCATTCAGTGTGTGATTGACTTCATCATCAGTGGTAAGCCTTTTACGGCGCGCATTCGTAAAATATCCGCGAATTTGCGCTACCATCATCACACGCTGAATAAAGCAGTCCTCCTCTTGATTAAGGAGAGGTTTATTGAGAGGGTGCGCGTTCTGGGGACCATGAAACGGTCTCTGGAACAGCGGTTGCGTCGGGTGGTAGACAATTCTGTCTTCCATTCTGATCCCAGTCGCTGGTTCGAGGCGCCTACGCCTGCGCCGGATAAGATGCCTTCAGTTGAGCGAGTTGAAGAGTTCTGGGGAGATCTGTATGGTCAGGTCCCTAATCTCATGGTGGAGACTCCAGCCCTTCGGGAATTTCGCCTGTTTTGTCAGAAACATCGTCGGCAGCGCGTGGAATTTTCGCGAGTCACTCAGGACGAGGTTCGATCTGCTTTGCAAGGTATGAAGAACCACGCCGCTCCGGGTCCTGACGGTATTTTAACGCCTTTTGGTGGAAGAGATTTCCCTCTGTGCATGTCCATCTGGCTCGGATATCCACGGCGTTCCTCGACGGCGCTGAGTTTGTTCCTGAGTGGTTGGTGGAGGGGAGCACTGTGCTGATCCCGAAGAAGGGACACTTGACTGACCCGACGAATTATCGGCCGATCACTTGTCTGAATACACTATATAAGCTCTTCACCGGTTTCTTGAATGAGCGTATTCTCCATAATATACAGCCAGTGCGGCCGCAGATACACGAACAACGAAGAGCAAAGAGGGGACTGTCAGGTTGCAAGGAGGGTTTACTGCTCGATCGCTGCGTATTGCGCGATTCGTTGCAGTACCATCGCAATCTGTCGGTGGCCTGGGTCGACTATCGCAAGGCATTTGATAGCACGAGCCATGAGCTCATTTTCATGCTTCTCGAATGCCTTGCGGTAGAAGACAACATAGTGAGATGCATTAAAGATCTTGCGCCTCTCTGGAGGACGCGCTTCACTATAACATCTGGTGAGGGGAAGCTGACTTCAGGGTTGGTACAATTCAGGAGAGGAGTTTTCCAGGGTGACACCCTGAGTCCTCTTCTGTTCTGCATCTCACTGATGCCGCTCTCTGTTGCGCTGCGTTGTGTTGGGGGATATCAAGCTGGAAGACCTGGCGAAGGAGGAGGCACCAGGTTAGCCATGTATTTTACATGGATGACATGAAGTTATTCGTCTCAGGAGAACGACAGCTCAAGCTTCTGCTTGACGTTGTCGCAGTGTATTCACGTGCGGTTGGCATGAGATTTGGGTTGGACAAGTGCGCCGTTTTCCATCTAAAGAGGGGCAAAGTCAGTGACGAGGTGGGTGATCTTCAGCTTGTGGATGGAAGCGTCATACATCATCTTGGCGCCGAAGAGTCATATCGATATCTTTGCTTCAATCAGCGTTCCGTAGTGGACGCTGAGGCAGTCAAGGAGACTCTTTGCGGAGAGTACAGGTGGCGGCTGCGGAAAGTTTGGAAATCCGAACTTTCCGGGAAGAATAAAGTCGCAGCGTCGAACATGTTCCCTGTCCCGGTGCTTCTCTACTCCTTTGGAGTTCTCAAGTGGAGTAGGGGTGAACTGAAGCAGCTGGACAGAGATACCCGCAAGCTGATGAATATCCACAGAAGTCTTCATCCACGCTCTTCGAGTCCGCGGTTATATTTTCCGCGGGAGAGTGGGGGACGGGGACTTCTCAGTTTGGAGGCTCTACATGATCGTCTAGTCCTCGGTTTAGCTTGTGACGTTATGAATGGTTTGGATCCGCACTTGGAGTTCGTGCATGATCATGAGCTGCTTGGGGTTCAAGCCTTCCTATATAAGGCAGCAGATACCGCAGCGGCGTCCCTCGGTTTGGAATTTCGTCGTGGCCGAGATGGTCAGTTGGCTGGTGATTCATTAGCCTTCATGGCCAAATCTCGGCGTAGAGCGACCATCAAGGCGGCGGAACAGTCCAACTTGTTCCGCCAGCACGTTGATAGGCCCATGCATGGCGTGTTCTTCCGCCATGTGGAGGAGCAGGGTCTCTCCGTCCAGTTGACATTCTCTTTCTTGAAGTCAGCTGGCTTGATGTCCGAAACTGAGGGTTTCATTTGCGCCTGCCAGGATGCTGTGGTAAACACCCTAGTCTATCGAAGTCGTGTTATGGGGTTGCAAGTTCCAGACATTCGATGTCGGGCTTGCAAGCGGTCCCCGGAAACTCTGATGCATCTTTTATCGGCTTGCCCGACATATGCCATCACGAGTTATATCCATCGACATAATGCGGCTTTGAGAGTGCTGTATTTCCATCTGCGGCACTCTTATGAGATAGACAGAACACCACTGCTGCCGTATGCTCCAGGAGATATTGAGTCCGTTGTCATGAACGAGAGGTATAAGATTTACGGGAACTTCTCGTTCGCGACTGTCAGGCCAGTCGTTGCGACGAAACCTGACATCGTCCTCTTCGATTTTGATGACAAAATCATCTATGTCATTGAGTTCTCAGCTCCGGCTGAGAGCAACATCACAGTTAAAGAAGAGGAGAAACGGCTCAAATACCAATTACTTCTGTTTGAGCTACGTCAAATAAACAGAGGATTTAAAGTAAAGTTGGTTGTCCTTATCATTGGCTCTCTTGGAGGAATGAAGGAGTCATTCATATCTGCGCTCAAAACCATCCCGGCCTGTAGGCTTCAAGCCTTCAATTTGGCTGGCCAGATGCAGAAAGGAGTCATCCTCGGGTCCCTTCGTCTACTTAGGCAGCATAATTCTGGATTGCAATAGAGCTCACCCTCTCGTTAGAGGGAGCACTATTGCAGAGCGATAAGGAAGTGTTTGCATCGCTTAGCTTGCTGGACGGTCTTCGAGGTGAAGTCGAAACCCTCGAGGATCGTTCAGCGATCTCATTTACGAGTAAAAATAATATTATCATATTAATTAGAAAACTGAAAAATCAATCATTTGAAATAATAATTTTTTTCAGTAAAATATAATAGTCGACACCCTCACTCCATAATTTTTTTCGACCGTCGCTTTTGGTGACGGCTGGGCGACACTGGTTCGACAGTGTCCCCCATCTTTTACCTACCGTCGCCTGTCGCTTCACCATCACTTTGTGGAACAAATCGACGGTACAAGTGTCGACTTGGTCCGCCAGGGTATCCTATAATTGATTACTCCTTGAATAGACCAAACACCCGTGAGGAACGATGAAATAGTATATTTCTTCTTCTTCTAATCCGAATGGCTTTATCCCCTCACTGTGGTAGGGCCAAGTGCCAATAAATGTGTTTTTCATACACGTTGTGCGAAAAAATAACTTTTTAGGTACGCTTCGCGTGTCTAAAACATCCCTTTTCTACACATTGTGATGAAAAACATCGTTCAATACTCATGGGAAACGTGTTTTTTGGCTCGTGGGATATAGACTCGCCTTCAGCTCGTGCTATAAACCTGCCACGAGCCAAAACACAATTTTCTGCACTCGTATCGAAATATACTATTAAATACATTTCTTCGTTGCACCAACATGGTACCATTCAACTTTCTATATGAAAACACTTAAATGCTTTGAGAAACAATTTTAAGAAGATTGATACTCTACAAAGAAGCAATGGACCAAAAAAGGTGATAATTTTGATGTATTTATAGAGTGGTTAACTGTGCTTTGGTGCTTCTATTCCTGAGCCAAAAGGCACCTGCTAATAGGATAGTACAGCAGAAGCCAAGGATGAATCTCAGTCTCCAATGATACTTATAACTTCTGAGCACATTTATGATTTTGATAGTTTGTTCTCGCATGTCTTGTAAACTGCTTGAATTCTCTATAACAAAATTTGACATTTCCGCTTTTCTATCCTGAGACATTTGAGCTGCAATTCGTAATTTTACTTTAGTCTCTGTGAATCCAGAACGTTTCATTAGGCGTTGAAGTTGGAGGTCTTCTTCACTGGAAATAAGAAAAGGAAAATGAGTGAAATTTCAGTGGTAATAGTACAACATATTTCAATTAATTTTCCGTACTGAACTTCACTTTTCCTCGTGTGGGGATTGCCATTGGCCCTTCCCCAAACTCGTAAAAGTGAAAATCACTACGGAAAAATATCGTTCACGAATAGTGCCATGGGTTTTTTTTTACTCGCGCGGTTGGTCAGTCCTCGCTTGTCGGCTCGGACGCCAACACCACGCGAGTAAAAAACCCCGTGTACTCGTCCTGAAATATACTACAATTGCCAGATATTTACCATGTTACAACAATGATCTTGTGCACATAATGGAGCATCTTGCCAGTCTCAAAGAGCAATGGTACGTCCATGACAATGAACGGATGACCTTGAAAAAAATATTTGAATGCCTGCCAGCACATTTCTTTGTATATGTCCGGATGTGTAAAGGCATTCAGCTTCCTTCTTTTCTCAACGTCATTGAATATCAAATCCCCCAGCTTTTCCCTGTTGATTGTTCCATCGCTACAAATCACTTCAGCTCCAAACTCTTTACGTATTTTGTGCCATGCCGGTTTTCCAGGTTCAACGACTGCAAATATTTACATGATTTTCGTTTATCGTTCTATATACGAGCGAATCCGCTGATTCTGTATATGAAAAATTGCCGCATATTTTTAGAATTTTTTTTCTTTTATGGGAAAGTATAGTTCAAAAGAAAAAAAATGAGCACGACCGGAGCTAGCTTACTCAATTATTAGCGGAGATATTGAAGATTTAATTTTTTGTTCATCTAAAAAATTTTTGTTTTCAATTTCAATTACGAGTCATTGAGCACGACAAAAAAGAATACGGACCAGGGTCCGGTGTATCCAATTTGAGTTAGAATATAACTTTAATTCAGTTCACAGATAAACCGTTCAAATTTATTAATTTAATGATTTGTATTTCAAAATTCCACTCGTTGAGTCCTTGCTCACTTCACATACATGAACCACGAAGATGTGCGTGATTGTTCGCGAAATTACTGAATAGTACCGAATAGAATCGCACACTACTAGCTCGATCTACCGGTCCAAAAGCCTCTCAATATCAAGGGATGGATTGCGGCGTTGGCTAGTTTTATTGACACCAAGGGTAAAATACGGGAGTCAAGCGGGGAAATGCTCGCTATGGCTCCTTAGACATGACTGATAGTTAGAAATTTGCCTCTAGACGCGTTGGAGTGTCCAGAAAATGCTAAGACAGCATCTCCTGGGCACACGTGCCTATAGGTGTGGGCCGTGTATGTAGTGAGCCGACGTGGAATTTGCAGGATTGCAAAGAATATCCGGTGAGCAACAGTAAAACTTCGTGATTTGAGTGAATTTAATCTCACGAAACGAAATAAAATTTCCGAAGAATTTTGTATTTAACAGCGCCACCATTTAATAAATGTTTTCCGTATCATTTTCCCACATCTTGTGACTTCACAGGATATTGTTGAATAGGATTTTAGAGTAGGGAGGAGAGGAACCGGGATAATTCAAAATATTAGTTCGCAAGAAATATTTACTGAAAAAATTTGATAGTCTAGACCGGGATTTGAAGCAGGAATCTTCCGATTATGTATCGCGTGCTTTCCCAATTCAAGATAACGTCACAGAAGGTCACAAAAAAAGTCCCAAGGGTTACGAAACTCATAAGGGTCACATAAAAAAAAGTGGCTAGAGTTACGAGGGTCACAAGGGTGACACTGCCTGGGTTAAATTCGTTTTTGACTGAGAATTTTTTAGATTCACGAAAGTCACAAGGGTCATACAAACAAAAGAAGTGGCTCGAGTCACAAGGATGACAATATCTTGGTTTACTGCGTTTATGGCTGAAAATTTTTTTGTTGGAGATTTTCTTGACTTAATTTTTACGATTGATGTTGCAATTTTGTCAGAAACTATTGAATGTCAATTTTGATTAATCCAATTTTTTATTTCAGGATGGTAATGTGGGAAATGCACCGATAAAAATGTGAAAATTTCGACTTCAGTGAGAAAATATGCAATACTCTTGGCAAAACCTGTGAAGAGATGAAAATATCAATATCGATAATTCGATAAACGTGTTATGAGAAAACCCAAAGTATTATAATTCATCTACAGAATTATATGAAAAAAAAATTCAAGTGAATGATTAAAATTAAAAAATGATCTATCTGTATCAATTTTAATTCTCCATGATCATTTATCCCTCAATTAGAAATATACTCTCGTAAACAAGACAAAAGAAACAATGTAATAAATGTCAGAAAAATTTTTGCAAATTCAAATAAGAGCGAAGCTGTTCCAGTAGAAATTATGACCAAAAATTCTCCCGTAAAGCCAAGAATCTCAGATTTTGGCTGCTCTCCTGAACAATATATACTATAATTTAAAAAAACGACCGATGAGTGATGTAGAAAATTATTAAAAAATCCATAAATGTGCCTCAAATTATTACATCTCTTAAATTACGCCAGGTCTCACTTTCATCATTTTCCCCATCCATTCTCACAATTAAGGGAAATCTTCGGAGTCATACTAGAAATCGGAGAACGTTTCAAAGCTATTTTATTCATAATTTTTCCGTTGACAATTTACCAATTTTTGTTGGAAATATACTCCTGAGAATGGATCATTATTTGAAAATAATTTCACATATTTTTGAGTTTTTTTTATAATATAAAACAGGAAAAAATTTCATAATGGATTTGACTCGGCTATTAGAAAATTATGACACTATTAGTATCTACTTCGATTGGTGATCTTGATTCATGATTTGTTCTCACAATTTCGTAAATCAAATAATCCATTTCAACAACGACGAAAGTGCAGAGGTTGTTGACGAGCGCGCGCAGCGCGCCTTATAATGCTCTCAGTAAGGAAAATTTCCCTTAACTATTCTCGGAAGTCAAGTCTGTCTGTTACTCCACTATCCATCGTTCATCGCTGACTGCAAGTATGGAGATACGTTGGTATATCGTCAAGGATTATTTGTATTTTTTTTTCTTTCTTGGCTCATTCTGCCAATTATTGTTATCGTTTTCTATCTCCAGAAATTTTATTGNATCAATTTTAATTCTCCATGATCATTTATCCCTCAATTAGAAATATACTCTCGTAAACAAGACAAAAGAAACAATGTAATAAATGTCAGAAAAATTTTTGCAAATTCAAATAAGAGCGAAGCTGTTCCAGTAGAAATTATGACCAAAAATTCTCCCGTAAAGCCAAGAATCTCAGATTTTGGCTGCTCTCCTGAACAATATATACTATAATTTAAAAAAACGACCGATGAGTGATGTAGAAAATTATTAAAAAATCCATAAATGTGCCTCAAATTATTACATCTCTTAAATTACGCCAGGTCTCACTTTCATCATTTTCCCCATCCATTCTCACAATTAAGGGAAATCTTCGGAGTCATACTAGAAATCGGAGAACGTTTCAAAGCTATTTTATTCATAATTTTTCCGTTGACAATTTACCAATTTTTGTTGGAAATATACTCCTGAGAATGGATCATTATTTGAAAATAATTTCACATATTTTTGAGTTTTTTTTATAATATAAAACAGGAAAAAATTTCATAATGGATTTGACTCGGCTATTAGAAAATTATGACACTATTAGTATCTACTTCGATTGGTGATCTTGATTCATGATTTGTTCTCACAATTTCGTAAATCAAATAATCCATTTCAACAACGACGAAAGTGCAGAGGTTGTTGACGAGCGCGCGCAGCGCGCCTTATAATGCTCTCAGTAAGGAAAATTTCCCTTAACTATTCTCGGAAGTCAAGTCTGTCTGTTACTCCACTATCCATCGTTCATCGCTGACTGCAAGTATGGAGATACGTTGGTATATCGTCAAGGATTATTTGTATTTTTTTTTCTTTCTTGGCTCATTCTGCCAATTATTGTTATCGTTTTCTATCTCCAGAAATTTTATTGTATTGAAGTTTCTTATATAGTTTTTTCAACATTCAAAAGACCTAAAAAACTTATTTCAATTTTTTTTTTAATTTCATTACGCGCAGAGTAAATTTTTTGGATTTTCGCATTTTTGACAAAATTTCATGTTGTGAAAGAGGTAGCAGACCATTCTTGAATTTTCAATGCGTATTTCCCCGAATGCGAATTTACATGGAGCATGATTTCAATACGTTCACAACATCGGAAATGCTCTAAAATGGTCGATCAAGTAGGAAATTCCATGTTTTGCTTTATAGAGAGTGGGGAAGAAGCGAGTTTTCTTCAGTCGAGGGAGCGAATTTGTACTCTGTGGCGAGAAGGGGTTCTCTTCCTCCCGCTCATTAGAGAGCAAAGTACGAAGTTTGCATGCAGGTGTATGAAAAAGAATCAAATATGCAATCGAGAGGGCGGGGACGTAGAAGGGTGTACAATGTAAAATTTTTAAATTTACTGGCGATGGGCTGATGGAAACAACCATACTCAGTCTAAACAATCAGACTGAGGAGACTGTGCCTTTGGCTTTCAGAGGTGGGTGACAAGGATGTGAGGGGGGATTAAGTGGGGGTAACTCTGAGGGGCACAATCTGCTCAGTTCTCCTGTATAAATCAAGTTGTTGATATTTGCATAATAGCCGTATCTGAATTTTTAGTGTTATGAATTTGAACTTGATTAACGATGGAATCGTTCATAGAGATTCTCATGCAGCTTGAAAAGGAAAAAAAATAGAGAGTTTTTCAAGTCAAGCGATCATTGATACTTCAATGGTAACTTGGATATTTAAACTTATTATGAAACTGGAACATCATATTCAATTGCGTTTCCAATAGATGAGTATTTCAAAAATGTATTGGTCGACTTTCAATAATTTTCATTATCGTGTGAACTTAAAAATAAGAATTCCATTGAATATTAGGTAATGGACAGATTTTTCAATACCAATATGTAGGGAAACTTAATATAAAATGGTCGTTGTTCAAACCTTCAAGATATTCTATGTGAAATTTCAAGGGTACTTTTCTAACAGGCTATGCGGAAAGGAAAACTGTTCGTTTTGAATCATATGGAACGATGCATAAAGAAGCGTAGGCACAAAAGAATCAAATGACAGGTCTCAATGAGGGAGAATCCTGATCGGAATTATCCTTGACATTCCGTTCAAGATCTGACTTGGATCATGATCATTATAATGCAAAACAGTCTAATGGAGTGGTATAGATATTTCCTCAACTACAATAGATAGGGACATTCCTTTAGGTCTTAGAAAGTTGGAAACAATTAGTTCTCTGAGAAAGGTTCATCATCGCTTTTTTCTTATTAAAACGAAGACAGTTCTAGAAGAGACTCGAACCATCGATTAATTCATTATTTTATTCTCTTGGTGAAGGAGGATGGTATCAAAATCTAACATATGTTGATGCTAGGTCGAAAATGGTTACTGCTGATAATTACACCGATATGTTTGATATTTTATAAAAATCCGCGTATAAAAATAACTTAAATTGGGAAAGTTACCATCTGATCATTAAGTTTCACGGCGTAGCATAGGTATATAATAAAATATTTGTAATATACGATGGATATGGTTCGCACATTTGAAAAGTCCTATTTAAGTATAACAATGAACTGTAGCACCGCCCCAATGGCCATTTTCCAACAAATTTTCAGTAAAACACCACTAACGCAGGCAATAATCGCTGACGAATTCCACTAATGCTTGCTCAATCAATTCGACGGCAAAATTCGGAGAAGGTCAAAGGGGCCTAAGATTAATATCCATCAGTTGCAATACTCATGGAACACAATTTCACTGTAAAACGGCACCAAGTTAAAGTAGCAATCGCGCG